TTTAACGTGCTGAGGTAAATCGTTCCAGAGTTTTGGAGCCCAGCAAACGCACGTTCCCCTCTGAGCTTCCGCTTGGTTTTAGACATCACTCCTTTATTTATTATTGACATTATTGATTTAATCAGGAGGATTACATTTTTAAAACACCTCAGAGGACATTTTTACATCACTTTGAATATGAACAACAACATTTATTCTGACTAACTCATTTCTTTAAGTGTGATTTTATAGATTTTCTACAAATGTACAAAGTGGTGAGAAGAGAAAATCAGCATGAAAGAAAAGTTTGCTGCTCTCTCTCTCTCTCTTCAGACTCCTGAATCAGAACAGAAACAACAGAAAATATAAATGTATGAAAACAAATAATCAAACATGGAGAGCAGAGAGAAGTTGATATTTATCACTCAGAGAAATGTCAGTTCAGGTGAACAAAAGTCATCCTGAGCAGTGAAAGAGTCCACGGCTAAACAGACACAGGAAGGAGTGTCACTTAAAGACACTCAAACATTTACAGAACAGACGAGAAGAGGTCAAAGTACCGCCCATAAAGTTTGATTGACAGGTGACCACGATCAGATCTCAGCAACGAGCGTGGATAAAAATCAAGTTGAAGATTTAAAACACAGCAAGTTAAACATCTGTCTCATTAATGACTTCTGTCTATTTCAGTTTACACAACTCAGCAGAGTCTCCAACAAACCCATAAAACCTGAGTCCAGCATGTAGAGGCTGAGTGAATGTGGTCTGGACTCTGTGGAGGAGAGTCATGGTTTTAGAGATGCTGTAGAAGGACAGAATACCTGCTCTGTGATCCAGGTACACTCCTACTCTGGAGGACCAGGACCTGAGACAGGAGTGCTGACATTGTTGTACCAAAAGCTATAACTGTTGTTGAAACAATATAACGCCCAAGATTTGTCATTCTGTCCAAATCACACTCATTCAATCCCCCTGCTCTGCTGATATTCTTGTATGTGACTGCTACATAAACTCCTCTTCCTCTCTGCTCGACTTCCCAGTAACAACGTCCACTCAGACTCTCTTTACTCAGGACCTGAAGACATTCAGTGAATCTGTCTGGGTGACTAGAATAAGGATTGGTCTGACTCGTTAATGTTACTTTTCTGTTCCCATCAGATAATAACAGCTCTGTGTGTGCTGTGTTTGGATCCAGTGTGATGTCACATGAATATTTTAAGAACTCAGCTCTGGTCTTGGGCTCTGGTTCTGGCAGTAAAACATCCACTTCAGTCACTGTCTGTGAGATGTTTGTCCATTTCTCTCTCAGGACGTCCTGTAGTTTATCTCTGACTTCTGACACAGCCGCTGTCACGTCCTCAAAGTACCTCAGAGGACGGATCTTGATGCTGGATGAGTGTGTAGATTCACTGAGTGGTGACAGTGAGGGGTAGTCGTGTAGAAACTGGTTGTGGTCCTGTGTGTGTGACAGCTTCTTCATCTCAGCGTCTCTCCTCTTCAGCTCAGTGATCTCCTGCTCCAGCTTCTCCTGAAGCTCTCTGACTCGACTCACTTCAGTTTGCTGCTGGGATCTGACCTGCTGCTTCACATCAGAGCGTCTTTTCTCCATGAGACGGATCAGCTCAGTGAACATCTTCTCACTGTTCCCCACTGTTTTATCAGCAGAGCCATTGATAGCCTCCACCTCCTGTTGGAGCAGCTTCACATCTTTCTCTCTGTCCTGGATTCTCTGCTGGATGTTTTGTCGACTCACCTCCAGCTCTCTCTGCTTCTCGCTCCTTTCTGCTGCAGCTGAGACTGTGTCATGACCTTTGTGTTCCTCCATTAAACAGAGGAGACAGATAGACTGCTGATCAGTGCGACAAAATACTTTCATCACCTCATCATGACGAGAGCAGATGTTCTCCTGGAGCTTCTTGGAGGGCTCCACCAGCTTGTGTTTCTTAAATGGAGCTGCTTCATAATGAGGCTGGAGGTGTTTCTCACAGTAAGAAGCCAGACACTGCAGACAGGACTTACAGGCTTTCAGTTTTCTCCCGGTGCAGACATCACAGGCCACATCTTCAGATCCAGCATAGCAGTGATCAGCAGGAGCAGCTTGGAGTCCAGTCTTCTTCAGCTCCTCCACTAAATTTGACAACATGGTGTTTTTCCTCAGGTCAGGCCTCACTGTGAAGGTCTGTCTACACTGAGGGCAGCTGTAGACTGTCTTCTCATCCTCTGTATCCCAGTGGCTTTTAATACACTTCATGCAGTAACTGTGTCCACAGTTAAGAGCCACCGGATCCTTCAGGAGATCCTGACAGATCGAACAAGAGAAGGTTTCCCGGTCCAGCTGAACTCCTTTCTGCGCCATTACTCTTCTCGGTAACAACGACTGTCTGAGATTCACTTCCTCATAACTGATAAGAAGTTTCACCTCTTATCTACAAAGCATGTGTCTGTGCATGTGACTGTGCAGGTGTTGTTGGTTACACCCATCCTCAAACTGTAGATCTAAAGGGGAGGGAACCAGGAAGTATGAGGACAGAGTGCAGCAGGCTGTGTTTGAGAGCAGGAAGAAGAGGGAGGGCTGATAGAACTACGATTCATTCCAGGAAGAGGAGCGGTTTGAGAGAGATACTTGTTTACAACAGAGAACATTTCTCTGTTAAAAACACTTCTCCTTTCAGATTTTAGATGAACTCTTCTTTGAATCGGAGGGTTTGGAGAAGACCACAAACAAAACCAGATATTATTTGTTAAGATTTCACTTCAGAGCCACAAAATGAGTCTTTCTAACGATTATCCACTTCAAATCTATTATTATTGTTTATTTTTTGAAGTATAAATACCAAATAAACAACGTCTCTATGCTTCTAAATGTGAGGATCTGATGTTTTTCTTGGTCGTACTTTATAGAGAAGTTAAAGTTTTTTTCTCTTTTTGGCTGTTGATGGACTTTGACTTTAACTTTGTTGTGACTTAGAGGAAATTCATTTAGCAGCCGCAGGTGAAAAAAAGAAACGTAACCTGTAGAAAACACACTCAGGAACACAGACTCAGATATTAGAGACAAGCAAACTGAGGAAGAATAGTTATAGTTATCCGTTTGAGTCAAAGGTCTGTATTAAACTCAGACATTTCTGTGAACACTTCCAGGGTTTTTCTGAATTTACAAAAAGTGAGAACATTAAAGAGGACATATGATCCTCCTCCTCCACCTTTTCAAACAGTCCCCTGTGGTCTAAATGAAACATCTGTGAGAGAGAGAGAGACAGAGACAGAGAGAGAGAGAGACAGAGAGAGAGAGAGAGAGACAGAGAGAGAGAGAGAGAAGAGAGAGAGAGAGAGAGAGAGACAGAGACAGAGAGAGAGAGAGAGAGAGAGAGAGAGAGAGAGAAGAGGAGAGAGAGGGAGGGAGAGAGAGAGAGAGATGGAGAGAGAGAGAGAGACAGAGACAGAAAGAGACAGAAAGAGACAGAGAGAGAGAGAGACAGAGAGAGAGAGAGGGAGAGAGAGAGAGAGAGAGAGAGAGAGAGAGAGACAGAGAGAGACAGAGAGGCAGAGAGAGAGAGGGAGAGAGAGAGAGAGAGGGAGAGAGAGAGAGGGAGAGAGAGACAGAGAGAGAGAGGAAACAAAGAGAGAGAAACAGAGAGAGAGAGAGAGAGAAACAAAGAGAGAGAGAAACAAAGAGAGAGAAACAGAGAGAGAGAGAGAGAGAGAGAAACAAAGAGAGAGAGAAACAGAGAGAGAGAGAAACAGAGAGAAACAGAGAGAAACAGAGAGAGAGAGAGAGCGAGAAACAGAGAGAGAGAGAGAGAGAGAGAGAGAAACAAAGAGAGAGAGAAACAGAGAGAGAGAAACAGAGAGAGTGAGAGAGAGAAACAAAGAGAGAGAGAAACAAAGAGAGAGAGAACAGAGAGAGAGAGAGAGAGAGAGCGAGAAACAGAGAGAGAAACAAAGAGAGAGAAACAGAGAGAGAGAGAGAGAGACAGAGAGAGAGAAACAGAGAGAGAGAGAGAGAGAAACAAAGAGAGAGAAACAGAGAGAGAGAGAGAGAGACAGAGAGAGAGAAACAGAGAGAGAGAGAGAGAGAGAGTTTTGAAGCTACATCCACTGAAGTGTTAAAGTGGGACAGATTCTGTATGTTTTGATTTTTACATCTTTTATGCTGCGTTCACTAAAATCAGTTTTTCTGCACAGAGAGAATGTCTAACACCTGCATCTGTCTGCTGCATTTCTTTGTGCTGATGTTTGATGAAGGCGATGCCTTTATTGAGTCTGTTCTGCGGTGACGTTCAGAGTTTTGCTCGCTCAGCACAGTCCCAACATCTGGCCATAAGATGTAACTTATCATTTCAAGACTTTTGCAGCAGCAAATATGTGTGGCGACAAAGTTATTGCCAAATAAATAGTGCCAGTTAGAAATTAATTTATCACAATCCTGGTAAGGTGAAGTTTTTTTTGATATCGCACATTTCATTGTTTTTCTATACCAAAGAGGAAGGTGTGCATCTGCAAACGCTGGTATGAACTAAGACACATCCACACTTTGTTTTCTGATTTTGTATTCTTGGAGTTTTCTTAAAGGCACAGAAAGTTAAATTCCGCCACCAGGGGGCTCTCAATAAAAAACAAAAACAAAAAATGATTTCAAGGCTGGTGGGGAATCATGGGAGTGATTCTCCCTGCTACTCCACCCCTACACCCCTACACCCCCATTGAAACGAACTCAGAGTCGACCGTAGTCATGACGACCGGGTGAAACCGACCTGAGGAAGAGAATATGTTCACAGACGAGCTGATGTATCCGAGTAGGTTTTTATCACAGATGCTCATACAGCGACAGAACGGCAGCTTTCAGTAGCAGCTCACGCTTCCTTTGACGAAACATCTGCTGTTTCCATGGTAACACTAAACAGGTGTCTGTCAGGACAGGCCACCACCACAACACACGTCCATTACGACTCTACAATTATTTTTGTCTCTGGTTTTGATAACTGTTGGAAACATTTGTACTCAACAAAAAAACTATTATAATCAGGGTTTTGTACATGTTTTAATTCATTTCGATACTTTCAGCTGATGTAAGAAAATGTGCTTTGCTTGTGTTGTGAGCAGCTTCACACTTTGGACAGTTTGATTAAAAGTCACTCCTTCACATTAAAGGAGGGAACAGTCAGCAGCTGTTACCTGGTGAACCTGACCTCTCCTTTATCTCTCTCTCTCTGTCAGCGCCGCTGGACCACGAGCTCGGGGAAACCCGTCTGCTCGTCCAGCTCTCTCTCAAACTGCAGCTGAGTCGCCTCTCCGATCACCACCTCGGCCGTGGTGAACACCTCCAGACCTCCCAGCACGTGGCCTCCCACCGTGCCGCCCTCGGCGTCGGCCAGGCAGACGTGAAGGTGAGCGTCCGGGTTCAGAGTGCCGACCAGGGACACGATCTCATACCGCCCGCTCAGGTGGAGCACCTGAGGAGGACAGTTCATGCTTTTTGTTTTTTCAGAGACAAAACTCCAAGAGCATAAAGTCATGTGACTGTGAGGTATACCTCGTTTGTGTTTGATGCCGTGGCGTTTGCCAACCTGAGCGTCGCCTTGGTGACGCTCCCCACACAGCTCATGATGAACGGCGCCTTGAGTCCTGCTTCCTTCACAAACGCCTGCAGAGACCCCAGCAGCTCCTGACCCGGGCCAAAGCGGACCGCGTGGACCTGCAGGGGGGATCCTCCTGAAGGGGAAGTCTGCGACAAAAGGTCTTATAAGTCGTCTCGTACACGCCAATCCCTCTTAGAATCGATGGATGTGATTGGTTTTCCGGGCGGGTTTGAATCGCAGGAAGTCATTTTGTAAACAGAGTCTGTGTTTATGAGTCTGACTGCTCTGAGATCAGCTGGAGAACAACAAAGCTGCTCTCTTTAAAGCGGGCTTCAAAACATGCTGAAAAGAAACACAAATGTGTCTAAATCCAAAATCTCTCCTTTTCTGTTCAGCGTGTGTGTGTGTGTGTGTGTGTGTGTGTGTGTGTGTGTGTGTGGTCCATTCAGATCTCTAACAGGATCACTGTGCCAAACCAAACACCAGGCTGACCTCTGACCCCTGCAGGAGGAGGGGGAGGGGGAGGGACCCTCATGTGAGCAGACATCATTAAAGCTCTAACTGATCTGCAAGTTTAACAGAAGTGAATAAAGAACACGCAGGGAGGCGGAGCTAACATCACTTCACACACCTTACGTCGACATGTTACCACCTTTACCACCAAACATCTCTTCATTTCCTACTTTTAAACAGTCTTATATTTGTATCTTCTTAAAGAGAGATGTAAGATGATAAATTGCACGGTGACTTCATGCGTCTCTGATCATACCGCCGTCCAGAGCAGCTTTGTAAACTTGATGAAAACACAAAGACAAACCTTTTCACAGGCTTTTCAGATCTACACGACCCGTCTGGAGACACACACACATTCTGAGGTCCAAACTTTGATATCTATTGAACTTGCCTGTTTAATATCAATTTATCCCCCCGTGGCTGTTAACACACACTTGTAAAGAAAAGTTCTGATTAAGATTTTACTTTATTGATCTCTGTGAGGGGACATTTCAGTTTTTACACTCTGCAGTGTTGGGCCACGCAGGCTTAGAACAGTCAAGCAATGGACTTGGGCCTGCACCTCTGTAAAAGCCTCATTTGAGTTATTCACTGAGATCACAAAGAGGCCTAAAAGGACTCTTAATCCCAGAATCCCCTGCGGTACTTCACACCTACGTGTGAAGTAAAGGGGGGACCGGAACCTCTCTCTCCTCATTGGAGGGGACCTGAGGTAGACCCCCATGGAGCAGGCCAGGCTACAAAACTCCAAGACTTCCATTGCTCGCTCTCTTTCACGCGCTGACTTCTGGTGCTTGGAGACCCAAGAAGATCTCCTGTTTCCTGCAACAATCTTCCTTTGTTTTAAGTTTTGGCGCGCAGGTAATCCGCGGCCGGCAGTGTTCTAAATTCCGAGCTCGGATTGTCCAGTGAACGCATCTCAGTTTCTCGGAGAGCATCAGACTATAACAGATTATCAGAAAGATAACGGTCTTATTCCGTCCTGCAACGAAAGGACATCAAAAGACATTTTTCCACTCGACGGAGAACCAACGAAGCCGCTCTCGCCGTAAGGGACCCTCGCCGCCATCAGACGCCTCTGCACCAGGACGGACAGAAGATCTGCTCCATCGCCGGACTCTTTTCCTTTCACCAATCGCGGACAAAGCGATTCACAAGTGAGGCTTAATTAGGTCTGGGCAGAATTAGCTTTAGAGAGTGTTTTTAACAATTGTTGATCAAAGCAGAAACTGTAATTTTTATCTTTGTTGGACCTGCGTCCTGAGTTTTAACTGTTTAAAACTCTTGTTGTTGTTTCGGACCGCTGCGTCCTATATGTGTTTAGCGTAACAGCATTATAACCGGGTATTACTCTTCTGATCAGAAAGGCCAGTGTAAGCTGTATTAACCTGAATTCGGCTATTGGTTTGTTTCTGTGAATGAAGGGGATTACTCCGAGTTGTGGCGCGGGAGTCGGACTGTGATCCGGCCTCTTCAGGCACGCATTTCTCTTTTATTCTCTTTTATTTCCCCTTCTACGCACACACACATACACACATATTCCTGTGTAAACGTACATCTGGAGACCAACTCCACCACCGCGCCATTACGCACAGAGATCTATACACTCGCGGCTATCCAGACGCCTCAGAGACACAGATCGTGTAGGGCCGAACTCGGTCTCTTTTAGACCTTAAGGCCACATTTAGGCCTTTGTTAGGTGTGTGCCATCGGAAGGGCGACCACGTGGGACGAAGTAATCTTCCCCCCCCTTCTCTCTCCCTTTCATCCACACACGCACCCAGGTCTTTGTTAGGTTTGCACCATCGTGAACGACCACGAGGGTACGAAGCCATCTCCCCCCTTTCTTCTTCCCCCCCCCTCTCTCTCTCTCTCTCTCTCTCTCTCACACACACACACACACACACACCTACATTCACACCCCTTCCACAAGCCTTTGCTTGATAATGTTTGTTGCTTAGATTAGTTTATAATAGTTATTTGTTTGATTAAGTTCATTGATTTTTATTGATGTTGCTTTGTTTAAATAAATTCTGTTATAATTTAAGAGAGCAGTTGTTTGTGGTTACTGGTGTATTTACATTGTGATATAAGCTGGTGCGAAGGCTTGGTGTACGGATTTCACGCCTTCAATTTATTAAATATAGTTATTCATTATTAATAATATTAGTAATTAAATAACTAATTTGAGACTGATTTGAGTGATATTTTGGTTATATTTACCTGATTACAGGTTGGTGCCCCAAAACGAGATTAAACATAGTTTAATGATATTTTATTTATATTATTAATAATTAAGTATAATTATTAAAGAATATAACCAAAGTTGACTTGATACAACCCCAACAGCAGTCATGCAACACACACATAGGCTGAAGCACATCTCCAGCTACCAGACCAACGTCCAAACTTGGTCCACACTGGGACTTGAACCGGCGACCCTCCGGTTCCCAACGCAAGTCCCTACTGACTGAGCTACTGCCGCTCCTGATGCTGTTCAGGAGCTCGTTCCTTAAGTCACAAGAAGATTCATCCAGTCGTCAGTAGCTGATGTTTATCGGAGGTGTGCAGGTGCAAGTGGAAGAAAAAACTAAACTTTTGAGACATGGATGGAGAGGGAGCAGCCTGCAGAGAACAAAGGTACAGTGTGTGTGTGTGTGTGTGTGTGTGTAAAAAAAATTACAAATCATTTAGCGGATGCTTTTATCCAAGAGGGAGCAAGTACAACACAAGTAAGGATATAGAGAGGAGGAAGCAACATCAGGGAGTGCAAACAATCAGCTTTAAGTCTGATCGAACACACAGGTGGTGACAGGAAGTGACCAGAGGTGCTGACAGGAAGTGACCTGAGGCAGAGCACAACATCAACAGCTGTTCTTGAGAGTTCTAATCAGCATCAAAACCATCCTACATGTCATCATCGTCATCATCATCATGAAGGTCGTAGGTGTTCATAAAGAGCTGGGTCTTTAGTTTTTTCTTAAAGGTGCAGAGGGACTCTGTAGATCAAATGGAGTTTGGAAGTTCATTCCACCACCGGGGGGCGACAGAGGAGAAGAGTCTAGTTAGGGTGGCGCCAGGGAGGGGCTAGGGGGGCGCTGTAGCTAGCTGTAGGATAGCCATAGAATCCCCCTAGCACCCCCCAAGAAACGGGAGACTCAATCAAAATCTGGAAACGAGTGTGATGAACCTAATCGAGCTAATACAGGTGATGATGACACTGAGATGTGTTTACTTAGGTAGGCTTGTGGACGTCTATATCCCATGAGCTGAATATCTAACAGAGTGTTTACTACAGAACGCGAGCATTTCTACTGGAGTGAGAGCTCCAGTAGAAACTGAACTGGTGACTGGCATGGGGAACCCTAAATCTCAGAGCACCCTCACTGAAAAGTTGAGCGACCTCATAGAAGGGAAGCAACTCGATCAGATTACAGTGAACTGTAAATTCACGCTTAATAACGTGAAGAACAGAGTAAAAAATAAAATGTAGGAGCTTTAAATACAGACACACACATCCCTACCAACGAGACAATAACTAAATATCATCTGCTAACTTTGGACTTTTCTCTCGTCCCTCTGCTGAACTTTAATCTAAACTCCTAAAGAAAGAGAAGTGTGAACTCACCATGTCGAGTCTGAGGCTCCAGAGAGACTAAACTGTGAGCACACACACCAGTCAAACATTTACAGTCACACACATGCAGCATGGGAGGGCTTTGACCTACACTGAGCATGCTCAGAAAACCGGACTGAACTGACAACTTCCTGCAGAGATTTTTTTTTAAAGAAGACCCCTTTGTACTTTGTATTTCTTGTCTTTTACTGCCCCCTGCTGGCGGTTTAAGAGTCAAGCAGCTTGAAGGTATTTAAGTTCAGTTTGGTTTTAATAACTTATTCTGGTATTTTAAGTTTTGTTAGAGGCTTTAAATAAGGTGTAGAACATACATTAGTATTTTTTTTTACTCTAATAAGAAGAGGTGTAGTCAGATTTTTTGATTTATTTGCTAATTTCAGTGTTTGTTTCCCACAAAATATAACACAATGTGACATATTTTTAAGACGGCTCACAAAACAAAACTAAATCAACGATATAAAAACAATCAATACAATCATTTAGATTGACTCAGTGAATTCATAATTTCCCAGATCTTTTTCTTTATACATTTTTTAAATCTAATAATACCTGAGCAACATTTTAAGTGATTGTCGAGATAATTCAATAATTTAACTCCATTTACTGAATTACACATTTGTTTTAATGTAATGCGTGCAAATTTTTAAAATTCAATCTCCGTCTATGATTCTCCTCATTAGATGTAAACACAAACGACTTCTGTACATGTTCAGGCAATGATCTATTTGTTACACCTTGTTTATAAGTCTGATCGCTCTTTTCTGTAACACAAACAAAGGTTAAGTGTTGGTCGTACCTCGGTACAAATTTAAGATTAAGATTAAGATTAAGATAAACTTTATTGATCCCGTATGGGGAATGTTTTTTTTGTCACAACAGCTCAAGAAACAGGAATATAATTATCAAAAATAACAAGAAGTTAAAAATCAAACATATGTACATCAGTTAAATAAAGGGAGATAAAAATACAATAACAGAATAATACTTGAATAATACCTGAATAACTGAAATGAATTATATATATATATTATAAATAATAAATATGGAAGAACAATCAAAACTTTTGTTATCAACATCTGTGTAGACAGTTATACTGATATACTGTTGTGACCCTCGAGTGTTGCCATACTCAGCGTAAGTCTCGTGAGACTTGGTAAGAACAAACGGACTTTAGAATGTTCATATGATCTTAAAGAATGTCAGTGAACAAAAAAAATACTTTTAGATTTAGCGTGACGTCTGATCACACTTCATCCTGATTTTAATCTCATTTAAACTCTGAGTGGAGATTTTTGTGTTTACCACTAGATGGCGCTGTGGTGTAGAAAATGGATCCTCAGCACTCACTGGATCCCTGATTGAGAACATCGCTCCCGTGAAAAACAAAGCAGCCTCACCTTTGACCTTCTCCTCAGGAGTCTTTAACAGATCCAAACATCATAGATGTGGAATTAATTATTGAATTAATCTTTATTTTCATGTCTGGACTCTCAACACGGGGCCTTACCAAAAATATTTCATAGTGCCATCACACGGGCACAAAACGAAACCAGTACAAACACGGGTAAACACCTGTGTGTGTAACATAACAAATACATGATCCAGAAAGAAGGAGAGAGAGAGAGAGAGAGAGAGAGAGAGAGAGAGAGAGAGAGAGAGAGAGAGAGAGAGAGAGAGAGAGAGAGAGAGAGACAGAAAGGGAGAGGCTTCTGCTGTGTTTTAGACTTAGTTTGTCCTGAACGTTTGTCTTCCAGGTAATGGATAACTAGCTGCAGGTAATGGTTTACAGTCTCATACCACGAGGCCACACATTTACACATCAAATAAACCAGCTGTAGAATTTACATATATGACTGAAACAGGGGTTTTCAGTTATAATCAGAACCTCAGGTTTTTTGTTGATGTCTTAACTTTTGAACTTTGATTTTAAGGAGATTTTAAACGTAGGGATTTTTAAAAATGAAACTCTTACTTTTAACTGATTCTAAAAATCATTCATCAGACGCTTTTATCCAAAGCGACAAACATCGGAGAGTATGAACAACACGAGCAAGGATGTAGAGAGGAAGAGACAATGTCAGGAAGAGCAAATGATCAACTTTAAGTCTGAACTCAGACGTAGTTCTTTCCCACCGAACATGTTAGTCATCAATGAGAAATACTTTCACCTGTATTTAAATGTATTAAGGTCATATCAGGATCATGAGGAAGGACACAGATCAGGACTTTGTGCAATGCTAAATAAAAATGAGATGTGATTTTTAAATTGCTGGAAAGTCAAAAGTGATATTCTATGAGGCAGAATCAGATCTCACAGTCACACCTGCAGCTGTGTATTTGTCAGTATTTTTCCGTGTAATAATGAGCAGATTAAATCAGGGTTGAGGCGTGTCGGGGCTCCTGGGAGCAACGCGAGGCCATGCTGCGGTGATTATTTTCCAGCAGAGGAGCTTGCATGTATTCCCCGAACGAGGTCCTGATTACGATCAGGTTACAGCGTCCATGACAACAACCTGCAGCTCCCCGGCAACCAGACTTCAAACTCTGCAGTGTGTCTTCACTTTACTTAGAGAGGATTCAGGACAAGAAGAAGATCTTAAAACACCAAATACTCAACATGAACAGACCTCAGTGTCTCCTTTCTTATTTTGGATCATTGCAGGTTTGTGTGCTTTCATGTGCAAATCACTAGAGAGAGCCAAATGCATCCTTTGACCTTCTGACCTCTGACCCTTACAGTATGTGCTGCATATAATGTTGGAGAGTTGTAGTTAAGACATACTCAAGACTGGAGGCTCCGAGACCAAGACATTTAGGGATCAAGACCGAGTCAAGACCAAGAACAAGGCAGGGCGAGACCGAGACCAAGACCATAAATATGACCGAAAAATCCTCATCTTGTGTGAAGAGGGCGTGTCCCTCACTTAGACCGTAACACTCCTCTTTCTTTTAGAAAGAGGAGTTTTCCTTCTAATCACAGTAATGACGTGGAAACAAAGCCTATCAGTTTGTGGTCTTGATTTAGAATCTGGAGTCCGCCCAGTCTGAGACCGAGACAAGACCGAGTAAAATTGCTCTTGATTCCAAGATGGACCAAGCATGGACCAAGTCCAGAAATTGGTCTGGTAGCTGGAGAGGTGCCAGTCCACTTCCTGAGCACTGAACTGACAAATAAATAAAATAAAATTAAGATGAGACCGAGACCTTCAAAAAGTGGTCTCGAGACCAAGACTGATTTCAGGTACAACACTAAAAAAGACCTCACTCTTTGTTCTATTATCTACAAAGAGCCAACATCAATCCATCATGAGCACTAAGAAACATTTAGTAAAAGTTACAGTGGAGAGGAAAACTTCCTTCAAGAGGCAGAAACCTCGAGCAGAACCAGACTCATGATGAAGAGCCATCTGCTTAAAAAAATGGGATCATGGGGGAGGATGTGATGAAGGGAAGGGGCGGAGCATGAATCTGTGATGGTATGAATTTGTTACAAACACACTACAGGTATGTTGACATGATGTGACAGGATAGTCATAAAATACCCTCACAGCGGGGTCAAAGTCGCACAAGGGGAATCTTTAAAGTTTAAATTCTTTAAACTGTTATTTTTTTTCTCACTACAACTCAACAAAGTCAGCCTGCTCACATTTCCCCCACAGTTGTTGATTTTTTATTTCTAAAATGAGTCGTTTTGGCCGACAGTGCCGGTGAGAAGCCGGCACTGTTTTAAATGCTTACAATAGAAGCTTTTAACTGCTGCTTTGTTTTCCATTAATCCTCTGACCTCTCTGGAGTAGGGAAAAAAATTCAACAGCAGGAGGTAAAGTGGGCGTCCATCCACTCGTCGTGATAAACACACAGAATCACAAGATAACCTTGCTTCTGTATTGATCTAGAAATGAACAATGGCTCTTTAGAAATCACATTGTTTCAGTGAAGCTCCTCTTTAATAGGATTTGGACTTCTAATCAGTGCTTTTGGCATATATGTGTGTGTGTGTTTATGTATTTGTGCAATGTCCATGTGTGTGTGTGAACTAATTAGGACCAGCAATTACCCCAAACTGTGGCTGCGTCTCCTGCTGAAGGAGGGGTGGGCGGGGGCAACAATAGCAGACTGTCAGTGCCAACGCTGCCATGCATGACAGATGCATGTGGACACGCCAGACAAAAGCACGGCTGGCCGAGCGTGTGTGTGAGAGAGTGAAGGGTGTGTGTGAGTGGGGGTTCAGATTGTGTCCGATGGAGAAGGAGTGGTGGAGCGCTGCTGGCGGCTCAGGCATCCATCCACGGCACCAGCAGCTCCCAGAAGCCCCTGCTGCCTCAGTCATAACCACCACCCCGGAGCTGTCAATCTCCCAGAAGCCCCTGCTGCAGCTCCTTCGGTCCATCCTGCTAATGGAGGGATGACTTCATGCTCATTATAACATCATCTGCATAGCAAGACATTTTTTATAATTTACACTGTAATATATAATTTTTTAAAACCACCTGTTATAACTTTATGATGCTTTTTTTTGTACTTCTAAATATGTAACAAGGTTTGTTAAAAGTCCTCAGAGTTGGTTGGGGTATAGGACAAAAGTTAAAAAAAAAAAAGAATAAATCTGTTGATAAAAAGGTAGGTTGAGACAGCATTTCCAACATGGCCACCTGCCATCATTGGGCTGCAAAACGCCTCTTTAAAAACCAATGGAGGACATCACTGAGTCTATTTCATGTGGCAACCTCCAGTGTTAAAAAATTAAGCCGATGAAGAGGTGCACAATCCTGCAGTTCCTCAAGTGTCCACTAGAGGCTGGCTGCAGAAGCACAGGAAGTCACATACACACCCATTCTAAAAAGCCTGTTTTTACAGCAGAGATGAACATGTTTACAGCCTGGTTCAAAAAACCAAATAGGTGTGATTAGCTCATGTCTGGATGGACACACACTGTACGGGGGGTGAATGTTTTGATGACTCATCAGTTTTGATTTGATGAAGGATAAGAGCTATTCACAATAAGGCGTGTAGCTGACCTGATTGACAGGTGGGCGCGGTGTAACGGTTTGTCAGGAGGTTTAAAACCCGCCTCAGCTC